AAAGGAAGGAATTTAGAGACCTTGGATAATACCAATTTAAATCCGGTGTGTCTCAGAATTCAGCAGCAAGGCTTGAGTAATATTGCATAACACCGGATCCTCCTGAACCTCTTTTGTCCACCTCCTCCAGTTGTGGTAATTGCACTTGAGAAATCATAGAACATTGCATTCTTCTTGAAAAAGCGTCAGCTATTACATTTTCCTTACTAGGTTGATATTGAATTTCAAAATCATACCCTAACAATTTGGACGTCCATCGCTGTTGTTCCTCCCCCAACACCCGTTGTTCCAGCAAAAAACGGAGACTTTTTTGATCTGTTTTTACAATAAAATGTCTCCCTAGTAAATACGGTCTCCATTTCTGTACAGCGAATACAATGTCCATGAGCTCCTTCTCATAAACTGATTTGTTCAACGAGCGTGGAGAAAAACCCCGACTAATAAATGCTAATGGTCGGTTTTCCTGCATAAGTATAGCCCCAATACCTTTACGGGAAGCGTCCGTTACCACCGTAAATGGTTTAGAAAAATCTGGTAATTTAGAACCGGCACACTGCTCATAGCTTTTTTTAACCATTGAAAGGCCTCTTCTGCTGCTTGGTCCCATTTGAACCCCTCTTTTTTAAGCAGATTAGTCAATGGTTGAGCTATTTTCCCATAATCTTTCACAAATTTTCGGTAATACCCAGTGAGACCAAGAAACCCATGTAACTCCTTCACCGTTCTAGGAATTGGCCACATTACCATAGCCTGAATTTTACCCGGATCTGCGCTAACCCCTTCAGACGTAATAAAATGACCCAGATATTCAATTCGAGCTTGCCCAAAACAACATTTTTTTTTGTTAGCAAATTTGTTCTGTCGTAACACTGAGAAAACCCATTTAAGGTGCTCAATATGCTCCACTGCACTCCTACTGTAAATTAAGATATCATAAAAAAAAACCAAAACAAATTTCCTCAAGAAAGGCTTCAGTACCTCATTCATGAGTGCATTAAAGGTGGATGGTTCATTAGTGAGTCCAAACGACATGACTAAGCACTTGTAATGGCCTTCATGTGTACGGAATGCCGTTTTAGGGATGTCTTCCTCCTTCGTTCGAATCTGGTGGTATCCAGATTTTAAGTCCAATTTACTGAACACAGTTGACCCCCCCCCCCACTTCATCAAGCAATTCCTCAACCACTGGTATCGGAAATTTATTTGGCACGGTGATTTTATTCAGAGCCCGGTAATCCACTCATACTCTCCAACTCCCATCCTTCTTTTTCACCAATATTACTGGGCAAGAGTATGGGCTAATACTAGGCCTAATAAACCCATCGTTCAACAGTTCTGCCACCAATTGTTCAATTTTTGTCTTCTGGTAATGTGGGTACCTGTAGGGACGACAATTAGGCACTTGACTTCCGGGAACCAGTGTGATAGCATGATCTCTTGTCCTTTGTGGTGGTATTCCTTTAACCTTCGTAAATAAATCTGCATACTCGTCAATTTGCCAATTCCTTCCATTCTGTAGGAAACTTAACATCCCCATCTTTTATACTCAACTCCTCTTTTTCTATATAAAACCCTTCGCCAGCCTGCAACAGTGCCTTTGACATTGCCTTAAGAGACGAGATCGTACGGGACAGGGACGGATCCCCTTAATGATTGCTTCCTTGTTTTGTGTCACGAACCTGAGAGTCATGGCTTGAAAATTAGCTCGGATTTCCCCAAGATCCCTAAGCCATTCCATTCCCAAAACGGTATCCGCTCCTCCCAAGTCAAAAACAAACAGGTCCTGTACGATTTCATGATTCTGGATGACTATCTTCACCTTCCGGCATACACCCTTACATGCAACCTTGCGCCCATCACCCAGCTCCACACGGTAGAGAGACATTTGTTCCACCTTCAACCCCAATTTCTGTGCCACCTCCGATTTCACAAAATTGTTCGACGATCCACAGTCGATTAGCACCTACTTTTCGCCTTCCACCTCACCCTAAACTTTCATGGCTTGACTCGAAGTGAGCCCCATCATGCTCTGTAACGGCAGTTGTAGCTTCAGATCTTCATCCGCGTGAACCTGCTCCAACGCGTTCTGAGCTTCTTCTTCCGTCTTTTTACCATCGTTCCCCTCTCCTTCATCCAAGATCAAAAGATGAAGTTGTTTCCCTGCGCATCTTCGTTCTGGATTCCACTTGTCTTCACAACGAAAACACAAGCCTTGTCGTCTTCGTTCCACCATCTCCGTGTTCGACAATCTTCGAAATTTACTCCCCTGACTTTCATCATTCCGGTTCGTTGATGAGTTTCCTTGTGTCACCGTTCCAGTCCCACTTCGATTTAGGGCATTTGATTTGGTATTTTCAGAGTTCTTACTTGGGTCTGAGCCATTAGTTTGACCCGCATAGCTTTTAATCAGTCCTCCCTTTTGATACCCCGCGTTGGTCTTGTGTGGCCCAACAACACTTTTGGGCCCAAAATAGCCTACCCCTTCATCAGCCCATGCCAAATTCCTTTGATCAATTTTTTGGGCTAACTTCATCATGGACGCCAACCTCAACCCTGGATTCATCAGCACTTCTTCTCTGATGCTGATTCTCAGACCACTAAGCCAGGCCCCTTTCAAGACCTCTTCGACTGAGTACCTCATGGTTCCGACCACCGCCTCGAACTCGTTCCGGAAATCTGACACCGTGCCGGTTTGTTTCAGTGAGTAAAGTGGTCCATAGGGGTTATCCAGCATTTCCGGTTGAAACCAGCACAAAATCTCTAGTCGGAATTGCACCCAGGTTACCGTCGGGTTCTCTAATTCCCACCATTGATACCAATTAAGAGCTTCTCCTTCGAGTACCAACATCACTGCGGGTACCTTTTCTTCTTCCCCTATTTCATTCATCTGAAAATATCTCTCCACTTTACTTAGTCAGCCATGCATACGCATTTACATCTGAAAAAATAGGAATCTCCAATTTACGTATCCTGGCCTCCCCGTAATTGGCTCCCCTGCGGCTCCCATGAGATCCTTCTGAATCATTACTCCTCCTCCCCCTATCCCAGTTGTTTCTTTCATTTCTGAATTCTTCAGATCTAAGCTGGTTAAGACCTGTCCCTAATTCCCTTAATTGACGAAGAATTTCCGTTTGATTAACCTCACTGGCTTCCATCCGTCTCACCAATTCTTCTTGACTTTGCTCGCTCAGACGTAACCTCTCTTCCATTCCTTCCATACTTCTCGTCCACACCATAACCCAGCTCCCAGACGGAGCTTTGATACCAATTTGATACAAACCAAACAATTAACACACAATTTTATACTGAATAAACCTTGTATATTAATATTTCAACAATCACCAGAAATCATTAGAATGGTTCTCCATATTATTGCTATGGCTTAGAGTTTAAAAGAAAAGAAGAACGAAATTGAAATAACAATTCAGGGACCTTCGAGACGCCCTGCAAATCTCCTCAGCACCTTTCTCTCAATACTGACCTCCTAGGTATCTCTTCATTCATACCTCTCTCCTATTTTATAAACCCATCCTAACCAACTTGCACACGTATGATCTCTTCATCCTCTAAGTGACTATCTGACTCAGCACTAACAGATTGAGGAGTAACCAATTGAGTGGAGTCATACTAGTGTTTCTTACCTTTGTCCCTCACATGCACATTACTGACTTGGGCCTTGCGTAATTGGGCCCTATCATTATGCTCCTAATAGGAAAAGGTACAAATGCTATCAACCTACGTGTCGATGTTTCTTTATTTCCATTAATGTCATGTTTCATGAAAATGAGTCCTTTTCCTGTCCTTGCCTTCAATGGAAGAACAGCATTCCATAAGCTGAGTACTCCATTTCATCCTTACTAATACATTTTAGTTCTTAAATAAAATAAGAAGAGAGATATTAGTTCTTATATTTCTGAATCCAATACTTTATTATACCTTGGAATAACTATGATCCTGACCTAGATAACTTACTAATTGCACTGAGGAAAGGAAAATGGTCTTGCATGAAGTACCTTATTTCTCAGTTAGTCTCTTCTAAAAATAGTCCTTGCTGCACTAGAGCTTCATTTGACCCATAGATTTCTTCAGAATCCCAACATTAGTATGGAAAGCATTGAAGGATAAGAACTAGGTTCAAGCCATGAATGAGGAGATGAGTGCATTGGAAAAAGATGGAATATAGGAGATTGTCGAGAGACCAATAGGATGCAAATGGATATATATATACCTTGAAATATTGGTTTGATGGTACACTAGATTTTTATAAAGTAAGGTTAATACAGTTGATCAGTCTGGAGGTGCACTCAGATTTATGGGATTGACAATGAGGACACGTGCTCCTGTAGCGAAGATGAACATTATGAGAATCTTACTATCCCTTGCTACTATATTTGGGTTAGAGTTATACCAATTTGATGTTAAAAATGCCTTTTCATGGAGATTTGGAGGAGGAAGTTTATATGGAGATTCCCCTTGGATATGTGGAAGAGAGAAGGTGTGCAAGTTTAAATATCTTTTTCTAGTGAGTTTTGCTGCCCTTTTTTTGGGTCGGCGCTTATAATCAGTTTCACCAACAAAGGATGTATGTGCAAATGGATGATCAATAATTCAACAACAATCAAATCATATCTCACAATGGGGTTGGTCACATGGTTCAGTCAATGCCATTGGGTTCTATCGAAGATCAAACTTAAAAAAAACCATTATATACGCAAACCTTCAACGCCTTTTCTTTTGGCTTGAAATCAGTTGCACCATCAGAGGATGAGCGTGAAATATTAATACTCAGTAGCATATAATAGGTCAAACTAAAGTTGAAATTTGGGTTTTGGGTGGGGAGTGGCATGTGGACTAAGCATCTCTTGTATCTAGTTCTTTTCCTCAATAAATTTTCTTTATATACTGATTTTGTTTATAATATATTCTTGTGTGCTGATTCTAATGAGTTCTATTATGTTATTCTGTTTCTCTCTCTTGGCCATTCTTATTCCCTTATTCAGCTCAGTGATCAAGAGGATCTCATAGTTTGGATGCGGACTGCTGCTCTCCCCAGCTTCCGAAAGTTGTATGGTAGAATTGAAGAGGATTTGGATGCAGATGATGTTATAGTAGTGCACCTAAAGAATAACTATAACACTTACAGTTTTGGTGGAAAGAAGAAGCTTGTTCTGTCAACATCAAACTGGCTTGGTGGAAAAAATGACTTCCTCGGAGTTGCCAATTTATTTGTTGGCACCTTTTGTTTACTGATCTCCATTATCTTCCTGTTGCTTCATGTGAAAACTCCTAGGTAATAATAGTTTCCATAATTACCTAATTGCTTTTTGATTATTTTGTGCAACAGAGGCCACTTCATCATGAAGTTCGCCTGGAGGATGCTGAACACTGCTATATTTTAGTTTCTCTAGCACTTAAATCTACCGCATGATAGCCTTTCAGTTTTTTTTTTTTTGGTTGCCTTTCCTTTACAGAGTTGTTATTAAGAACTTCTATTTTGAGTTTAAAATTGCTTTAAAGTAAAAAAAAATAAAAATTATACTATTAATCCACTAGAAATTATTACGTCATTGTAGTAATCAAGGTTCTTGAGTTGCAGTAAAAGTTGTTTACAGGATTTTAAACCCTGGTGTCATATGATGTACTGACTTCTATTAATTGCTATCGGATCAACAGATCAAGACTAAATCCATTTTTTTAGGGCAGGAGTGAAAGGCCTTATTAATGAGATTATCTGAATGCATATCTATACTAGTTATTGTGAAGTCATGAAATTATTATTTGAAATTGAAAATGTGAAAGCTTCTCACATAGAAGAAAAATAATGAAAATATGTAGATCATACTCACGAAGAATTCCAAATAATGGTAATTTGCAAAGAAAGCATGTTCTGTCATTCTCCTATCCTATCTTTTGAACTTATTCTCCCAAACAATTGTTGAGCTTGGGTGCTGTTTACATATTATGCTTTTGTTTTTTTGGGGCAGACCTTATGCGGACACGACCTACTTATCTTGGAATAGGAAAAGCACTGCTAGCTGATGAGGTACGTGGTACACCGGTTCTTAGTGAGACTCAATATACATATTCTTGAGTAAAGCTAATAGCATTTAATTGTAAATGGTAAAGCAGAGTAAACATTTGGGTTTTTTTTTTTTTTTTTTTTGAAAACAAACATATGGGTTTAACTGCAATGGAAATAATCCAAAAGGAGTGAGATAGTACTGAGGAGCATGGGTGATTTGAAAGAGGTCATTGTATTAAACCTGCCCGACCCCAAAGAAAAAAAAAATTGGAAATAGAAAACTGTATCTGTTCATGTATTGAAGCATATTTTTACAGAGCAGAGTTGATTAAACATTTATCAAACCATTGACGCATGAGTCTCTTTCACATATCAAAGTTTATACTTAATATTTATGGAAATCATCCACTCGTAGTCTGGTAGTTTTATGCGCAGCGGAAACTAGATAGGATCTTCAAAAGATTTTTTAGCTTCACAGAGCAATATATTTTCCTAATAGTGGAGACGGAAGTTTGGTCTATTTTCTGGGGCTTTTTACATCATCGATTCTTTCTCTTTTTTATGTGATTAGTTGTTTATTGAAAGAGAGAATTCGGGAGAATTTGTCTTTTATACAGAGTCCATCTTATTTATACTATGAGTTCTTAAGTACAAGAGCTAATTACCAAGTTAATTATTAGCTGTTAACTACTGTCATAATTATAGTTGAACAGTGTTTATAGTAGTAAGTTTCTCATGATTTGTCACCAAAACAAAGTTAAAAATTATTTGAACTTAAAGAAGCTGTTTTACAAAAATATTACTAGTTTTTGGATTTGGATCCTCTCTGTTAAAAAAAACATGATATGATTATGTGAAGAATCATAATCATACAAAGGTGGATCAATGGTGATATAGGAAGAGAGAGAAAAATTATTAAAATAAGTCGTTACAAAATTATAACCATTGATTTACTTTTCTATGGTTGTGATTTTTCCACATGATCATATCATGTTTTTTTTTAACATGAGAGGATCTAAATTCTTAGTGTTTAGGATTGATTTTCATTTTATCACACTTCAAACATTATTTATTAAAATGCTTTGTTTTTTGAGTTCAAAAATCGAATTTAACCAAACGATTTTTTACATAATTATTATTTGTAAATGTTTTGAGAAGTCGGCTGTACTTATTGTCTTTGTTTTTTTTTTCTTGAGTAGTGTCGAGAAGCCATTTTGGTTTAAATAAGCCAGTCCACATTTTAGATTTTTCAAAAATGCTTTGCAAAGTAGTCAGTTTGAGTTAGACAGACATTTCAACAATTTTTTGTTCAAGTTCTGTTGAGACGTGAGATGAGCTCAGGGAAATATTTTCATATACTTATGAATAGATTTTCTCATATTTGTTCATGAGAGATATTTTCATTCGTTTATGGATAAATTAACGGTTATGTTCTTGCCATTCTCTCTCCTATTGCTTTCTCTCTCCTTATTTTTTTTTTTTGCGCTTAAGATGAATTTCTACTAAAAAAATGTGTTTTGATAACCCACACGTTCTACGTATTTAATGAATAAAGAAAGTATTTCCTTTGTTCTAATTTTCAGATACATTCTAGATGTGTGTATTTGATAAATAGTACGCTCCAAAAATGAAGAAACAAAAATATAATTTTTTTCATTCTTTTTCCTGGATTATTTCTCAGCGTACCGTTTTACACTTTTTTCTATTCTATCTTTTGATATGCCTTTGTTATGCTTTGGCTGACCTCTCTTCTGTTGGGAGAGCTCGGAACATGCTTTTATAGTTTGTTTTGGGCTATTGATCTTCAACCAAATTTTTTTTTTGCGCTGCTCATGCGTTGACTGCTATGTTGTTTAATGCTTCATGGAATCTTGTCATTCGGTTGCCACTTTTCTCAATTTTTTTTAAAAAATTCATAGAAATTGGAAAAATAAATTAACATGCCGTAAAAACAACAAATTTAGAGGGGTCTGTTTGATGAAATTTATATTAAAAGACATAGTTACGATTGCTCAAGATAGTTTCTTGAATGAAAATGACGTCCTAATGGCTGATAAAAGAAAGAGTTCTTTGAGTAATAACGACTTTATTCTGTATGTTGCTGTCACATTAGTGCATGGCCTAATAAATGTAACAATGTAGTTGCGAACTTGTTAATGATGATGATTAAATATTTTTGGAAATGATAGTGAAAATTAAATTGCATAGTGGTAATGTTAAGACGGTATTGTAAGATGTGTTCTGACCCTTGTAGAGAATTGTCACCCTATTGATTGTCTTACTTTTAAGAAAAAGGATATTTTAAATTAAAAAATATTTTTATAAAATTAAAATAATTGATGTTTTTTAGAAAGCAGCTCCAAAAAAATAAAATTAGTTCAAGTGCTTTTCTCAGAAATTAAAAAAAAAACTTATGAAAAGATTATATAAAAAATTATATAATTGAAGCATTTTTCTTAAAAAAAAAAAAAGAATTTATCTAAAGGCATCCTTTAATTCTTTGGATGAATTGAATTCTTTAAAATTTAATTACTTTGTTGTAGTGTAGTGGTAGAGTTTTGGCAGATATGTTTCCACACTTGAATAGAATTTTTTTCTGGAAATATTCTAATTGATTCATTGCTTCGTAACTAATCCAATTCGGAGCGGATCTAAGATTAAAGATTTAAATTCCCCCCAAAGGTGGTACTGGGGAGATTCGAACACATGCTCTCATCCTCACTCCCATGCGCCAACTAAGCTATCACCATTTGGTTGAAGAGAATTTATTTCTTTCAGTAAATTGAATTCTTTAAATTTTTGTTGTTATGGTGGCAGTGTTTGGAAGATACTAGAGGCACTATAGTGATCATGCAGGAAAAAGAAAAGAAAAAAGAATGAAAACATTTATAGGTCGGTTGTTGTTTTAAGTTAAAAGAGCTAATGAGGGTGGAGCAATCAGTGACGAGAAGAAGATATAGTTTTAAACGAAGGACAAAGTGATGTTGCTTAAGTGTTGTGTTGATGACGCCAATTCTTTTTTTTTTTTGGGTAGTCTGCAGGGGAATTAAACCCGCAGAGATCAGTTCAAAGCAATTCTACGAAACGAAAAAATCGAAGAAAAATCAGCCCAAACACCAAGGGGTAGAGGGGAAAGTAAACGACGCCAATTATTTTTGGGTAGACAACGACTCCAATTCTTACTAGCACCTGCTAGTGCCTAGTGGGATGTTATAAAATTTAAGTTAATGGAGATTTCGGATATTTTTGGTAATGTTAGTATGAGAATATTTATTACGAAGTTAGATTACGAAAAGTTAGAACTTAGAAGGCTTAAATATAAACGGCAGTTTCAAAAGTAATTATTCAATAATGATCACATATATCTAACTAATCATATTAATTCGGACACCTTTGACTAGCGGCCTATTAGAACATACGGATCAACTTACCTTACATTAGACCTGACCTAATACATTGAGTAAAAGAGAGAACTTGGATATTAAAAAAAGTTTATTTAAAAAAATAGATCCTCAGCCTATTTTTACAAAGCTTTTTTTTTTTTTTTGGGTAAGCTTATTTTTACAAAGCTTAACCTATAAGCTTACGAGCTAATCTATATTATATTATTTATTTTAATTAAAATAAAATCAATTTTTTTAATTAATTAATTATATAAATAATAAAATTTATTTTATTTTATTTTCTAATTTTTATAATTATTGAATACTTAATAGACTTAAACAAATAATAGATTTAGGTTAGGGTTTTTTTTTTGTAATTCAAGTCAAGTCGAATCTTATAATGTAGTCAACATCAAGCAAATAGACCAGGTCAAGTTAAATTTTTTTTACATAGGTCTTGCTTAGCTTAGCCCAATATATTTACACCTTTACATTTGACGGCAAAAAAAATTTAAATATTATAATTAAAATAAATAATTATGAACATATAGCTATTTTTATACTATTTATGGATATATTGCAAGATCTCACGTTTTGATTCAGGCATGAGTGCCATGTAGGTCACGTCCTACTTAGGCGTGACTACTCACGTCCAAGCCAGGCATGAGCTGGACTAGATAAACCCTTTTTAACACTTTTTACCATTTCACACACATTCTCTCTCTAACTTCTCTCTAGGTTCTCTTGCTCTCTCTTCTTCAGGGAATTGCGTAGCGAAGCTCTGTCTATAAAGTAAGTCCACCTATCTGCTTTCTATTTGTTTCAATTACAGCAATATATATGTTATACTAGAGACATATTAAATTATTAATGAGTTAGGAATATGTTAGTGACTTAGGAACCACTTAGTGACCTAGGAATTTATTACTGACTTAGGAATTAATTTGGTAGTTGCTTAGAGATTTTTGTGTGACTTAGTAAATAGTGACTTAGGTTTTGATTAGTGACCTAAAACAATTATTTGTAACTGTTATATATGCTTACGTTTTCAAAAAATATTATTTGAATTTAATTTATTTTAAATCTTATACTAGGCATGTACATTATTTATAATTTAGTTTATTTTAAATCTTGTATTACGCATGTAAATTATTTATAATTGCATTTATTTTAAATCTTGTATTACGCATGTATATATTTTGAAAATTAATTAATTAAAAAAATCTACTTGTTAATTTTATAGTATATTTTAGTGTGGCCGAGTCTACTGATCCCAACATGTATGTCATACCTGGACCGTACAGGTGTGTGTGGGGGGGGGGGGGGGGGTACTCTGGAGGAGGACGCAGAGGGCGCACGTTTCACAGCGTGTGTGGAATGATGAGCATGTTCGTTCGCATAAGACCCGACACGGTAAGATGCAGGGGGCCAGCTCCCAATGATATTCTGGATGTCGTCGTTGATTACCTTACACAGGCCGAATTTATACATGTTGTACGCATGCGATATATTTAGGTATGCACTTTAGGGTGTAATATATTATATTGTGCTTGATTATAATAATTGTAAATTATTGATTTAATGTGATAATTGTCTTATGTTTTTTCAGATTGATACTACCCTGATCAGTGCTTTGGTCGAGAGGTGGAAACCAGAGACACATACATTTCATATGACTCAGGGCGAGATGACTATCACCCTACAGGATGTGGCGACTATATGACGGACAAGTCGTTACTGGCTCTACATCAGAGGATTGGCTTGTCGTGTGTGAGGCAGTTTTTAGTGCTCGCAGCAGCCTGGTTACCCTAGCCAGTCCGATTCACAGCATCCATATATGGAGTCACAGAGCGAGCCCGTGTTTT